ATTTGGGCCTTTCTTGGATGCACCACATATTTGATTCCCATATCAAATACAGTTGAATGCTATACACCCCAATTACCAATAACTGGTGCAACATAGTAAATGAATGGTTCGTATGGACGATATGTGGTCAAAGAGATCTTGGGAAACACTCACCAGATTGGTATTCATTCTTCGATTGAACTGCAGGTAAGTTCTATACAATGGGTAGTGGCTTAGACAGCCCTCTTCTGAAATATATTCACACTACACCATTTCCGTGTTCGCATCAAGCGTACCCATAATCAAAAGCGCAAATGAAGCTGAGCCTACATTAACAATCAAAGAGTTCACTTACCCTCAGCGCCGACTGTCACCAGGAGGAGGCACACTGCTACGAAAGCGAAGAGCATCCTGATTGCAATGAATTCTCGCCGCTACTCATCCCTTTTATGCTGCTTTAGATTTTTATGCTAGGCGTTCCAGGTTTCCAATTGAAACCAGTAAAGACTGCTTCAAATAGGGCCATTCATTGTGTTCCTCGAATCTGTGAATACATCCGGGATCCACGTGTTTATTGTTCTCATTCTGCGATGTTTTCCCCGAAAATCGATGCCACTGCGTCGAATCGTTCGAGCATGGATTTGCCTAAAGTTTTTCAGATCTGTACCATACTAAAGATCCTCCATTCAAGGCGACAATACGTGATATAGATATAGAATACAGACATGATGAGCTCACTCCCCTTCAGCGGCACACTTGTTGCTTCCTACACTGAAACCGCTCCAGTGTAATGCCGTCCACAAATTCGTTTCGTTACACTGAGGTTCAACATCCCCTTGTGAGACAGGCTTCTGAACTGTGCTGCTTAAGAAATGGCAAGCTAATCGACGGAGCTACCTCGGCCGGACCCTTCCTTTACCATTCACAAATGAAGAAGTGAAAGCACTGATATATTAGGTTGTCCGGAAAGTTCTCAGCGTTTTGTGTTACTATTTTTTGTACATTCATTGCTGATTAAAAACTCATTCTCCCTTGCGTCTCAGTAGTACATCCTTTTTGCGCTATCTGATGGTATAATTGCCGTTTCACCATTGCTTGATAAACCCCCTTTTCCCAAGACTTTTTGAAGCATGTCAAAAGAGCAACTTCGGACGATATTTTTCTTCAACTACAAATTGGGTCAATCCGCAGTCGAGACAGCTCGACAAATTAACCAGGTGTGGGGGCCCAATAGTGTTGGAGAAAGCACCGTGCGACAATGGTTCGACAAATTTCGTTCTGGAGATTTCAGCCTTGAAGATGAACCTCGTAGCGGTCGACCTAAAGCAATACTGACGAGGATTTGAAGGCGTTTGTGGAGGCTGACCCATCCCAAACAGTTCGAGAGATTGCAGAAAAGCTAGGCGTTGGCAAATCCACTGTTGCGGATGGTCTGAAACGCATTGGGAAGGTGCCCCACAATTTGAGTGACCGGCAGAAATTGGCACGTCTCGAGGTTTCTTCTTCACTGCTTTTGCGCAACAGAAACGACCCGTTTTTGGACCGAATTGTCACCTGTGATGAAAAGTGGATCATGTATGATAACAGGAGACGTTCCGGACAGTGGTTGGATGCCGACGAACCACCGAGGCAATTTCCAAAGCCGAATCCTCACGAAAAAAGATTATGGTCACAGTGTGGTGGTCATCGGCTGGTGTGATCCACTATAACTTTTTGTCACCAGGCCAAACCATCACAGCAGAGTCCTACTGTGAAGAAATCGACGAAATGTACCGAAAATTGCGTCAGCTGCAGCCAGCACTTGTCAACAGAAAGGGTCCGATTCTTTTGCATGACAACGCCCGCCCACACGTTTCACAAATCACTATCCATAAATTGAACGAATTGGGGGTTGAAGTTCTACCTCACCGCCATATTCTCCAGACCTTTCACCAACCGACTATCACCTTTCAGCCTTTAAGGGTACACAAAGAATACAGTTATAACGTTTCCGCCGTTGAGCGATCCTTCATGGGATGCGGCACGCATTCGAATTCCATTCGGAAAGGTAGTGGCTCATCGAATAAGATGTGGCCTATACAATGACTTGCGGGGTGGGGGGGGAAGAGCCAATGTACATGTCAGTTCTTCTTCTTCTCCTCCCAAACCAATCTTCTTCCAATGAACAGTCCCCGAAGAGCAGGACGATTGGCTGCCCTGGGCGGGAGTCGACCCCGGATTTGAACCGAGGACCACGCGAGTCGTAAGCGCGCCACCTGCTAGAGGACATAACTTCAGAGAAAGAACAAAGAGGGCAAAACGATATTCGGCGTAAGAAGAGGAAGATCTCCGCTCCAAGATACCACTAATCCGTTCAGAGATCCACTATTCAAAACAAACTACCTGAAATTTTGAGGGGATTGTGGATCTACTTTTCTCACGTTTCTTTAACTTCCAATGCAGTTTTAGTGTCACTTGGGGAAATGAATAACGTAACAGCTTGTTTCGACTATTGATTGTTAATTGGTTTAACGCCATCCACTCCTTCAACCCACACTTTTCAGCGTTTGCGCTCATCTTTACGGCAGCCACATTGGTTTATCTGCAGAAGCTTAAACGCCATTTACGAACATTCGCTAAGCTCAGGAAACAGAAACCAGAAACCATCACCAAGCAAACCGTTTAGGTCCCGAATGATCACTATGAAGTGGAATATCTGTCACCTAAATTCCCACAATTTGTTGTGAGGCCTAACAAGTCGTGCAGCGCCATTGGGAAAGTACGGCACACACCTACGCAT